AACGATGCCTCAAATAAGGTTGGGGGAAAGAGTACTATGAACAGAGAGGCATTCAGAAAGAATGCGATCATTCGTAGTACATCATATATAGCTGTAAGGTTAGTTTTTTTTTTAGACCTTCTGTGGTATAGTTGGTAGCGTCTTTACTCAGTAATTTTGTGTCCTAGGTTCAAGTCCCGTTTGCGGTAAAAATTATCCATGTTTTCCCATATGGTAATGTGCTTATTGTTCCCAAATGAGATTGAGATTTGAATTAAATGCGAAAACGAAGCAACGAGTGAGGTTGGGGTAAACTGTAATATGAATAGAGTGGCATTCAGATAAAATGCGTTCACTCCTAGTATAGCAAATACAGCTGTAAGGTTATTATCCCTTCTGGCCCTTCTGTGGTGTAATTGGTAGTGCTTTAGCACAGTAATTATGTATCATAGATTCAAGTCCCGGTTTGGGTAAAAACTATTCATGATTTTACATATGTTATAATTATTTTTATTATTATTTTTTGTATTACTGTTATTACTAATTTTATTATTATTATTATTATTATTATTATTATTATTATTATTATTATTTTTATTATTATTATTATTATTATTATTATTATTATTATTATTATGATTATTATTATTATTATTATTATTATTATTATTATTATTATTATTATTATTATTATTATTATTATTATTATTATTACTGTTACAATTATTATTATTATTATTATTATTATTATTATTATTATTATTATTATTATTATTATTATTATTATTATTATTATTATTATTATATTATTATTATTATTATTATAAAGTTATCCTGGGCGACCATGTAGCCCTCCAACACAGGTTTCTGTGTGTGGACCTGAGGATAAAAAGAGAAGGAATAACGATAACGAATATGGTAAAGAAAATCAGGTGGCATAAATTGTCAGGGACGGATAATGATGAGAAAAGAGAGTTTAGGAGAAGAGTGTTGGGAGAGATTGATCTGGATATTGAAGATGTGGAGGAATGGTGGAGGAATAAAGCATCAGTGATTAGAAGGCATGCAGGGAGATACTGGGGGGAACATCTGAAATAGTGTGGAAAGAAAAGGAAAGCTGGTGGTGGAAAGAGGGTATAAGGGTGGATGTAAAATGTAAGAAGGAGGCAAAGAAGAAATATAAAGTGTCACAGTTGCAGGAAGACAGAGAAATATTAAGGGAGAGAAATAAAGAAGTAAAAAAGGTAGTAGCTCAGGCTAAGGCAAGGGCAAATGATAAGGTTTATGATGAACTGGAAAGTAAGGAAGGTTTAAGCAAGATGCTCAAATTGTCATAGGTAAGAAATAAAAGTACGAAGGACATCACCCATATTAAACAAAGTAAAGATAGAAATGGTACGGTTCTAAAGAAGGAAGTAGACATCCTGAAACGATGGAAGGAGTATTTTGAGCAACTGCTAAATGAAGAAAATGAAAGACTTATTAGAGAGGATGGACAAGTAAACATGGGAATGGTAATGGGGTACTCTAGGGGAGAGGTGATGCGTGCCTTAAAGAAAATGAGGAATGGGAAGGCAACAGGACAAGACTTGATTCCTGTTGAAGTTTGGAAAGCTTTAAGAGTGGAAGGGGTAGACATCATGCATACTCTTATGGCAAAAATCTCTGAACAGGAAAAGATACCAGAAGATTGGCGGGAAAGTATATTAATACCTATATTTAAAGGTAAAGGTGATGTCCAAGAATGCAGCAATTATAGAGGCATTAAGCTATTGTCTCACACGCTGAAGATACTGGAGAGAATGCTAGATGGCAGGCTAAGAGAAGAAGTGAGAATAGGGAAACAAGAGCTTGGATTTATGGAGGGAAGGGGCACAACAGATGGAATATTTTGTATAAGGCAGCTGATGGAGAAATTCAGAGAAAAACAACGAGCCTTGCACTTGGTTTTCATAGACCTTGAAAAGGCCTATGACAAAGTGCCAAGACAGGAAATATGGAGATGTTTGAGGAAGAAGATGGTACCAGAAAAGTATGTAAGAATTTTTCAGGAGATGTATAGGAGTGTGTATTCCAGAGTGAGAAGCAGTGTTGGAGAGACAGATGGATTTGAGGTAGGAGTGGGATTACATCAGGGGTTGGCATTTAGTCCATTCATCATCAATGTGGTGATGAATGTAATGACTAAAGATGTAAGAGAAGCAGTGCCATGGTGCATATTATATGCAGATGACATTGTATTGTGTGCAGAGAGGAGGGAGGATTTGGAGGAAAAGTTGGAGAAATGGAGAGCAGCACTTGAAGAGAGAGGAATGAGGATAAGCAGGTCAAAGACCGAACATATGTGTGCCAACATTGCTGAGGATGATGGACATAGCATAAGAATGGATGGGGAAGAAATAAAGAGAGTACATAAGTTCAAGTTCTTGGGGTCCATAGTAGAGGCTAGTGGAAGCATGGATCAAGAAGTGAGACATCGCATTAAGGTAGGATGGAATGACTGGAGGTCTGCAACTGGTGTTCTTTGTGTCACGAAGGTACCGCTGAGATTGAAGGGAAAGTTTCATAGGACCATTGTATGACCATCTATGTT